CCCTTTTTCATCGGATTAATTTTGTTTGTCGGTACATTATTTGAACATTCTTGTGTATTTAAATTTTGGTGTGATTATATTGTATGTATATTTTCATTAATTATTCCATATTTGCTTCTATGTGTACATATACATTTGAGTGAGTTTTAAGATATTAATTTAGTAATTATAGGCGTCTAATGATTAATTTTTTACGTTACGGTATATATTATTGTTAAATTAAAAATTCTTAATATTATTTTATAAAATATCAACACAATCAACTAATTTTTTGTGCAAATGAAATTATTAAATTAATATTGTAGGTGGAAAACATGAAACATACTTAAAAAATATTGAAACATAAATTACATATCTTTAAAAAAAGTTTTGATCCTTTTTATAAAAAGTATGGACACTTTCAACATATTATAATAAAATAGATAATTTTGTAATATAACCGGTATAAATATACCGGTCTTATGCGCGAATAGGTCTACAACCTATATCGACACTTTTTAATATTGTGTCGGTACTTTATGTCCATATTGGAAGAAAAATGTGTCGATACGATTTAAAAAAGTGTCGACATTTTACACATCGGAACCCATAATTATAATGTAATAGATAATTTTGTAATATAACCGGTATAAATATACCGGTCTTATGCGCGAATAGGTCTACAACCTATATCGACACTTTATAATATTGTGTCGGTACTTTATGTCCATATTGGAAGAAAAATGTGTCGATACAATTTAAAAAAGTGTCGACATTTTACACATCGGAACCCATAATTATAATGTAATAGATAATTTTGTAATATAACCGGTATAAATATACCGGTCTTATGCGCGAATAGGTCTACAACCTATATCGACACTTTTTAATATTGTGTCGGTACTTTATGTCCATATTGGAAGAAAAATGTGTCGATACAATTTAAAAAGTGTCGACATTTACACATCGGAACCCATAATTATAATGTAATAGATAATTTTGTAATATAACCGGTATAAATATACCGGTCTTATGCGCGAATAGGTCTACAACCTATATCGACACTTTTTAATATTGTGTCGGTACTTTATGTCCATATTGGAAGAAAAATGTGTCGATACGATTTAAAAAAGTGTCGACATTTTACACATCGGAACCCATAATTATAATGTAATAGATAATTTTGTAATATAACCGGTATAAATATACCGGTTTTATGAGCGAATAGGTCTACAACCTATATCGACACTTTATAATATTGTGTCGGTACTTTATGTCCATACCATTTAAAAAAGTGTCGGTAATTTGAAGTAACGCGGTTTTTCTTCCTTCATTCAAAATATTTATATGTACATACAATAGGAGTGATGTTGATACTTACGATATTATATGGAGATCGTTGTCATTCCATTCCGTCTTCGAAAAAATCAGTTGATGTAGGCTGTGTGCTTGTACTCAAACTAAGCTTGACTTGAGGACATGTTAGTTTGTTATGCCCCTCACCGTTGCAGTACCCACATCGCCTAATTTGCTTCTCGACCTTGTTCTTCGGCACTTCTTTTCGCTTGCGTTGTTTTCGTTGAGGGTCACGAACATTGTTTACTACAATGCTCTGGTTGACTGAATGATTCAAACCAAACGAGTTTTCTAATTCTTCTATTAGTTTTTTCATCTCATCTCTTGCGGTTTTGAAAGACTCGTCTGTCTTTGATGCAATGTAGCATAACCTACTTGACGTTGAACGTAGAGCAGCGAACCTTGCCATTTGCATCACTTCTGGAGACACATTCAAATCAACATAGCTGGGTGCAGAAGCCTTCGCATCATTAGTCCACCTACTTTGAATCAAAGTCCCGGGCAAATATGTGTAGTCCAATTGCTTCAAATGTGAAGTTGATGGCGACACGGAAGTCCAACGGTCTCGAATTTTTTGCAGGAGCAAATTAGAGTTTTCGTACGAGAATCAAAACTAATTTCAAATTTCCTATTTTTTTCTGCGTACTTTGACAAAATATAATGTTGACATTCATCTGATAAGGACTTAATCTCTGCCTCAATCCGGTACAATGTCTCCCGTGTAAGTTCATCTTGGAACACACGAAAAGATTCGCGGGTAAAAATCGCAGCGGCATGGCTTTCAAGGTCGACCAGTTTTGTGATCTGGAAGGGCTTCGTATGGGAACTTAAGTAATCCGCTTTCAACTCGTTCATACGCATTCTACTAATTCCATCTTCAATTGCACGAACAACATCTAAATATGTCTTCTTGTGTTTCAGTGCAATAGCTAGTGAAGCATTCATAGACTCGCACCTTTGTGTTGAGCGAATATTGGCAAAGAAATGACCGGTTAGATATGCTTGTGCCCATAAGTGTCGTGTATTTCCCTTCTCAATCACCCATGGATGCTTTTGGACGTTGAATTCTGAAACAATCGAACGCCATTGAATATCAAATTCCTTGGTTGTCCACCAGGAAGCCATGCATTTTGAGAATGCTGCTGTAAACTTTGGGTCACCAATGTTAGCTTGTGCATTGCGAGAAAGATGCCAAGAACATAATCTGTGCTTAGCATAAGGGATAACAGATTTGATAGCCCTCTGCATTGCCCTATCCCCATCGGTTACAACAGAAATAGGTGATTTATTCATCATGGCTTCTAAAAAATTCTGTAGCACCCACTCGAAAGATTGAGACGTTTCGTCAGCGATTATGGCAGTGGCAAACACAATTGTGTTATGGTGATGATTGACACCAACAATAGGCATAATTGGTCGACCATACAAATTATCTTTGTACGTTGTGTCGAACGCAATTACATCACCGAAGCATGTGTAATCCGATCTCGATGTAGAATCCGACCAAATAAGATTATACAATGCCCCGATTCGTCTACCGAGTATGTCATAAAAAACCCGGGATCATCATGTTTCTTATAATCAAAGTAGGCAATAAGCGCATTCACATCCCCATCGACGATTTCCTTTGCTTTACCTCTTTGAAGTGCATTGTAGAGGTCTTTATGTGTAAATCCAACATTATGATAGCCCCCTGCCTGCTGCGTTAAATAGTTCATTACTTGTGACGTGCCAACACCGACCTCTTTCAATGTTGTTGCCTCATCGATATCAGCCTTACTTACAGCTCGATTAGAACGCATAAATGGTGTCATAGCAGATGTGCACAATGCATGATTATGTTTCTGATCAGACTTACTTATAACCCACTGATCGTTTGTATTTGTTGCTGTAACTACGACTCTAGCCTTACATCCTGTTCTTGTGACTGGCGTATGAGCACGTTGACGATCAACAGTATTGACTTTTGATACTCGAAACCCTTCTTTGGAACAACAAAATTCTTGTGTCTTCACATTCCCTTCCACGTCAAGCCGTGTTGTTCCCTTACGTGCACTAAACCCATGTTCCCGTGCGAATCCCTTGTAAAAGTGCCAAGCTTGATCACGTGAACAGAAGAGCTGACCAACCAATCTGTCAGATTCATCAACATTATGTACTTCATGGCATTCCTCGGTTGGCTTAACATTGTCTACATCAGTATTATCCATGGCAAAAATTTTGTTGTGCAAGTTCAGTGCTCCAGGAGTTGATGGATATGTAAACGAAGGTTCATTTTGAACATGTTTCTGTAGTTAAAGGGTGGGTACAACATTAAATTCGCAGTACATATTTAGGTATGTACAATAACTACAAGTATATTATCATTTTAAATTCGCAGTACACTGTTAAAAAATTGAAACATAAATTACATAAGTTTTAAAAAAAGTATCGATCCTTTTTATAAAAAGTATGGACACTTTCAATATAATAGGTAAACATATGATGTAATAGGTAGCCCTTATATAATGTAATAGGTATCGTTTATATAATGTAATAGGTAATGGTTATATTGTAAAGTGTCTATCCTTTTTATAAAAGTGTCCATACTTTTTTCACTGTGGAAAACATTAATTTAAGGTTATCTTTTGAGTGAGTTTTAAGATATTAATTTAGTAATTATAGGCGTCTAATGATTTATTTTTACGTTACGGTATATTATTATTAAATTAAAAATTCTAAATAATATTTTATAAAATATAAAAACAATCAAATAATTTTTGTGCAAATGAAATTATTAAATCAATATTGTAGGTGGAAAACATGAAACACTGTTAAAAAAATTGAAACATAAATTACATAAGTTTTAAAAAAAGTATCGATCCTTTTTATAAAAAGTATGGACACTTTCAATATAATAGGTAAACATATGATGTAATAGGTAGCCCTTATATAATGTAATAGGTATCGTTTATATAATGTAATAGGTAATGGTTATATTGTAAAGTGTCTATCCTTTTTATAAAAGTGTCCATACTTTTTTCACTGTGGAAAACATTAATTTAAGGTATATATCACTCTAATTATGATAAAAGTATAAGAATATTTTATTAAAAATAAATAGTTTTATAATAATTTTATGTATTTTATAAAAATATATAAAATTTAAAATAATTTTTATATAAATAAATTTGATACGATAAAATATACAATTTCTAAAACCATAAATAATCTATTATTTTATAATTATGTATTGATAAATTATAATTTTACAAATTGTAAAATAATTACATAATAAATTAATAAAATAAAAATTAAAACAATAATTTTAGCTATAAAAATATTATTTTTATTATTATGGTAAAATTAAAAGAACCTTATATATATATGTTTAAAAATTATATATCTAATATTATTTATGATTTAATTTTTTTTTGAAAAGAATGTTAGCTGGAGCTTAATAACCTATTTAAGAAAAAAATTAAATAAAATATATTAAAATTATATACTTTTTATACAAATTTTCATTTATTTAACGAAACAAAAGAGAGCAGCACTCCCAAGTCCCATCATTTTGGATTTACCGATTGATGAAGACACCTCACTGAACCAATACCATAAATAATCACCACATATAAATGAAAACCCCAAATTTCAAAGTCCCTATTTTCCATACGGTGATTATACTCCCGCACAAAAACCAAAAAAACTTTTATGTTTCCTTCAATCCAAGCCAAGAAAAGAGAAATTTCCTTTTTCTATCATAGCTGTAGCTGCAGAATCTACTGATCCAGCTGAATCTGATCCAGAAATTGTTGAAAATTTTAGGAAGTATATGTTTGTTTGATTTTTTCTCTTCATTTTTTAGTTTTTGAAAGAAAGCGGAATGGGGGACAACAAGGAGGAAGAATGGTGGACTGGGAGTGAGACCGGGGATTTGACATCGGAGGATGAAGGGACGGAAGATTACCAGCGAGGCGGTTATCACGCCGTTAGAATCGGTGACACTTTCAAGAATGGTCGTTACGTTGTACAAAGCAAGCTCGGTTGGGGTCATTTCTCCACCGTTTGGCTCGCTTGGGACACTCAGCGCTCCGTAAACCTCTTTCTCTTTATCTCTACCTGGTCTTGCTCTGTTTCCGTAGATTATTAGTTCAATTATGCTGTCTTATAATTAAATCTGTATCGTTAACTCAAGAAGTTTGCTTTTTTGCTTTAATTCTTTTGTTTATTTCAGTAATATTTGATTATTCTGTTCTGTCGATCCTGTAATTGAAGAAAAATCATCTAAAAGGAACCTTGTTCACTTATTTGTGTTAATATCCTTTTAGATTTTTTTCCTAGAAAAATAACCGAGGAAAATATGCTTGAATGTAATGAACAAATCAAAAGCGTTCGTTGCAACTCGCAAGTAATAATTTGATTGCTTGATCAATTCTGACAACGAAACAGCAGAAAATCAATAGGGAATGTGTCTATTCTCTTTCAATTTTAGGTAAATTGTTTTTGTTATGTTTTGTTTTAACGATATGTTTTTAAACTGCAGTGTTATGTAGCTTTGAAAGTACAAAAAAGTGCACAGCATTACACTGAGGCAGCGATGGATGAGATAACAATCTTGCAACAGATTGCTGATGGGGATAAAGAGGATAAAAAATGTGTAGTGAAGCTTTTGGATCATTTTAAGCTTTCGGGTCCGAATGGACAGCATGTTTGTATGGTGTTTGAGTACTTGGGAGATAATCTTTTGACTCTCATCAAGTACTCTGATTATCGTGGCATGCCCATTCATATGGTTAAGGAGATATGTTTCCATATTCTAGTGGGCTTGGATTACCTGCATAAAGAGCTTTCTATTATACACACTGATCTGAAGCCGGAAAATATTTTATTGTTGTCGATGATAGATCCATTTAAGGACCCAAGAGAGTCGGGTGCTCCTCTCATCCTTCCGAATATTAAGGACAAAACAGTGCCGTCTACTAATGGGGATTTGAATAGAATTCAGAAGAAAAAGTTTAGGATAAAGGCTAAACGAGTGACTCAGGGATGTGTGGAGAAGGAAGTTACTGCAGAAGCTGATTTGGATCCCGAAACATCTGGTGCAGCAAAATCATCTTCTATTGTGGGTTCTGTTGAATGCCCCACTAGTTCCGGCAATGTCAATAGAGTCTCTGATGCTGATTGTACCAAGGATTCTGGTCAAGAAAGTCAAGGTAATAAGAGAGGAAGTCGCTCCACAAGGAAGAAGCTGTTGGCATCAGTTGAGTTAAAGTGCAAATTGGTCGACTTTGGGAATGCATGTTGGACATATAAACAATTTACGAATGATATTCAGACAAGACAATATAGGTGTCCTGAGGTGATTCTGGGATCCAAGTATTCTACTTCAGCAGACCTTTGGTCATTTGCTTGCATTTGTTTTGAGCTTGCAACGGGTGATGTACTCTTTGATCCCCATAGTGGCGACAACTTTGACAGAGACGAGGTATTTTCTTTTATAATAATGTGATTACATTTTATGTTATTTGCACCTTATATGATGTATGTGTTTGTTTTTAAGTTCTCGTCTCTCTTGATGAAAGTTCATTGAAGATGTGGGATTCAGTCTTTGAAGGTAGGGACAAACTTGAAAACCTAAAGAAGTTATTTCTTTGATTTTGAGAAGGAAACAAAATTTCTCAGTGCATCTGCAGAAGAAAAGAGAGGATGTAATCTGGGACAAAAGTGATTTGTCTGTTGCATGTTATATTGAACTTGTAGTTAAATATGGATGCAATCCCTTGGAGATATTTTGCATTTTACATGTCTTTAATATGATAATCATATCGGCTTAAATGCTAAAACTTTGTTTCTTGGTGAACACATTAAAATTTTGTTAGGTTATTTGTTTTTGTAAAAGGACTAGAAATGAAAAGGGAGAAAATACTGGAGGTGTCTTGAACTCAAATTTTGTTTTTTAACTTAATGGAGAGACTAAAAAGTACTATGTCTGCAAATTTCTCTTCTTGCCTATTCATTTTTAACTAGTTATTTCACCACTTCTCTTGATTCAAATTTGCTGTAAACTTCGGTATTCATTTTATGTGGTAGCCTTATACACATTAGAAATGATAGCTGAACAGAATGTAAGCTCATCTATTTTGAGACTGCTGAATTGTCATCAGTCTCATACAACCGCTAGATTATTGTTCGAGTTTGAGAGGTGCTTACTTGTAGCTGAAAACAGAAGGGTTAACTTTAATTGTTGTTAAATTACTGGAGCATCATAGTTTTCATTACTTTAGTTATAGGATTTTGTATTTAGGAATATGTGGTATGTATATATGCTCGGTGCATGCATGTACTCTCCTGTGCTTATTTATACAATCATATGTATATTGGTCACATTCAGGCTTTCTCATGTTTTTTCGACTAACCAAACATTTGGCAGGATTTAAGGTTTACGGTTTAACTGAATTCGCCTAATAAAAAAAGCATGGAGTTTTAGGGAAGATCTAATTTTACCTTGCAAAATACATATATTAAAGTTGTTCTAAAAGTGCCTCAGAGCAGGTTTGAACTTTAGAACCTTGAAAATAATAGATTGAGGGGTGTATGTTGTACGAATATCTTGATTTGGCTTTCATTTGATCAAGCTATAAACTTGATATACGCTTGGTCAAATGTAACAGTTCTCTCATCTGTTCAGGACCACTTAGCTTTGATGATGGAACTTCTAGGAATGATGCCACGGAAGGTGAGAAATTTCGTTTCTGCTTACTAAGATTTTTGCTTTCTCAGAGTCTGCATTTAACAAAAACTATTTTGGGAATTATGCTTAGATTGCCTTGGGTGGCCGTTATTCACGGGACTTCTTTAATCGGTACGGTGATTTGAGGCACATACGAAGATTGCGTTTCTGGCCCTTGAATAAGGTACTTGTTGAGAAGTACGAATTCAGCGAACAAGATGCAAATGAAATGACCGACTTCCTGGTTCCCATCCTTGATTTTGTACCTGAGAATCGTCCCACTGCTGCTCAATGCCTTCTACATCCATGGATCAATGCAGGGCCCCGACTTTTAGAGTCATCAAGGTCATCATCATCGCGAAACCGAGTTGCTGATACGAATGACTCTGAGAAAAAGAAGACAGAGATGGATGAGAGAGAGGCAATGGAGGTTGGAATGGGGAAGATTGCCATCAGTGCAGATTCTAAAGCTGCCAAAGATCTCATGTCCACATCGAAATCTGTCATGGCGATGGCTACTTCTAGGTAGGACTCACCTACGGTACTAGAAGCTTCTTTCAATTTTCTGCATAGACTGGTTTTGTGCTGAAATTTATGTGGACATGTAATTCTTTAATAACATTTTTTGTTACAAAGCGCAACAGAAATTACATCATGTGTTGGAAGTTCAAGATGAATTTGCACTCATGTAGTAGGTAATTTTATGTTTATGCCCCTTGATTTGGTCTAATCATTTTCATTTATTTTGTATATATGTTTGAACTTCCCCTTGTCTTAGGGTAAAGTATAAAAATGTTACTTTGTTAAGTTATTTAATTTTTAAAAGTTATAAAATAGCCTTTTAATTATATGATATTATTTTATTGAGTGACTTGATTATTAAAAATTATAAAATGATCATTCGACTATTCATATGTTTCAAATTCGTCATCTTTTGTTAAAAAATTAACAGTCATATAAGTTAGATGTCAATATGTTAATTGACATATGATAAAGTAATATTTTAATGATATTCATTGATATCACCTTTGTTTTTAAGTACTGGTTCAACGATATAATATTTTATGCACTAACTTGATGATATAATATAAAGAGAGAATCTATTAATAAAATATAACTCAAACGGTTTTGGGACTAAATTTTATCTTATTCTAATTAATAAGTTTATGGTTATATTAGACAATCGTTACTTTTTTAATGAAAAAAGATGTGTTTAGAACATATGAATAGTTGAATGATCATTTTGTAAATTTAATTATCGACGAGCAATGTTGTATAGTTGAAAGATCATTTTATAACTTTTAATAATTAATACATTAATATAATAATAATAATACTCCATAATTGAGAAAGTATTTGTGTACCTTACCTTTGTTTTAATGGTCCTAATTTAGGGAGGAAACGTGGATTACGACTTAAAACTCTAAATAGAAAAGTGATTCAACTCATTGAAAACATTTGTAATAGAAAATTGAAAGCAGAAAAACATAAGGCTTATATTAAACACGGATTCTATATTTTATAAAATAAATATGTTAAATATAATAGTAGATATTTATATTTGTTTTAAAATTCATTTGATATTAAACACATAGATATCAATTAGGGTAAATTGCATATTTAGTATCTAAACTATTATTTTTATTCCGTTTTAGTACTTAAACTTTATTTTTTTTCAAAATCATACCTAACATTTAACTTACGTTTTATTTTGGCATCCGTCATTAAAAATTTAACGGTGATGATGACGTGTCCACATAAAGGTAATCCCACATTACCATTCAAAAAAATTAAAAAAATGCCACGTTTGCAGTTGTAATAATTTTTTAATGGAAGTGTATTATATTGAAATATAAACTAAAAGTTAAATATGATTTTAAAAAAAATATAGTTTAAATACAAAAATAAAATAAAAATAATAATTTAAATACTAATCGTATAATTTCACATAATTATATCAGACAAAAGTGAACTAAAAACCCGGAACTTCATTGGTTATTAGTCATTCCTCTCATTCTAGGAAGCATTTTATTTCCAACTATTTAGGGGTCTAAATTGGATTTTGAAATTTTGAGGGGCTAATTAAAATGTAGTTTTAATTTTGTACATAGTGATTTCTAGCAAATTTTTTATTTCTGCCGCCCGTCTGTAGTTCCTCACTTGGTCTCTTCCACTATATTTCTAAATGCATCGGTTTTCCAAATTTCACATTCAATCCCCAGTTGGCAAAATCATCTTTAAAAAACATAAAAATTCTCTCTCTGGGCATTGATTCTTAGGCATTTCTTCATCTTTTGGTAGCATCGGCAACGAATTTCAGTGTCTGAAACCAGCGTCTTAGGTGTCAGCCCGAGCTCTTTTTGTCCATCAAGTGTTCGTCATAAGTTCTCAGCGAGTTGACCGTAAGAGTAGAACAACGAAACCATTGCTAATTTCGCGTCAAAATGCTCAAATCCATATTGAAACACCAAAATCCGTGTCGAGTTATCGTTAGTCGATTCAAAACATCCTCTGTCCAGTATGTGGAATCCAGAGCTAGGGACTCTACGTTTGAGAAACTGATGGACAAATACAAAAACCTTCTCAAAGTCATTTCAATACAAGATCTTATCCTTGCAAATCCCACCAATAACCCTCCTTCGGTCTCCCTTGATTTCCTCTCCAGGCTCTCCCAAAAGCTACATCTCAACCGTGGCGCTGCCTCTTTTCTCCGTAAATACCCCCATATTTTCCACATTTTCTATGATCCCAATAAATCTCAGACTTTCTGTAGGTTGACCGATGCTGCTATCTATATTTCCCGACAGGAAGCAGAAGCTATCAATGCTTCTCTGCCTTTAGTTGTTGATCGCTTAGTAAGGCTTTTGTCTATGTCGACAACCAAATCATTGCCTCTCCGTGCTGTTTTTAAAGTTTGGAGGGAACTTGGGTTGCCTGATGATTTCGAGGACTCGATCATATCCCGGAATCCTCACATTTTCAGGCTTGTTGGTGCTCACGAACCTAATACTCACATTTTAACACTCACTGATGAAATGCGTGATGAACGCTTTGTGGCTTCCGTCGAGAATTGGCGAGTCACAGAGTGTTGTAAGGAGGACTGCGGTGTCGACAGAATGGAAATTCAATATAGTTTTAAACATAGCTATCCACCAGGGATGAGGCTGAGAAGGGATTTTAAAGCCAAGGTTAAGGAATGGCAAAGATTGCCTTACGTAGGGCCTTATGAAGAGATGGGAGAAAAGAAGAGATCCAAGGCAGAAATAATGGCAGTAGAAAAACGGGCAGTGGCCGTTGTGCACGAGTTCTTGAGCTTGACGGTGGAGCGGATGGTGGAGGTGGAGAAGATTAGCCATTTCAGGAAATCGTTCGCCATCGATTTAAACATAAGGGATTTGTTCCTTGACCACCCGGGGATGTTTTATTTGTCAACCAAGGGTAAAAGACATACTGTTTTTCTTAGAGAAGCATATGAAAGGGGCTGTTTGATCTACTCGAATACGGTTTATAGTGCAAGGAGAAAGCTTCTAGACCTTGTTGTGCTGGGACGCCATGCCATGTTAACCAATGAATCAAGGTCAGTTGAAACTTGTCAAACTGTGAAACCTTGGGTAAAAGATGAGAATGGAGGATAAAGGCTTTAGTTCATTTTTAAGTGCCTTTTCTCTTGTTCTTTCCTATGCACTTTGGTTCTAAGTTCTAGCATGCTTGCAAACTTCAGCATTGTTGTTTTATTCTAACTCTGAGGCTTGCATGCATACATTACACACATATAATATGTACGTACCGGGGATGTACCGTGGATGGACCGAGAGGGACTGTCGCTCTCTGAAAATTTTAAATTGCCATATAATTACATTAAAAAGATCTACCTAAGGTAAGAATTCCTTTAGCCATCAGTGTGGTGGAAACTTATTTCTTTACAAAGATTAAAATATGTATGATCTAATTAATTCATAATCAATCCAACAATATTTCTCCAGGATCATTACTGACCCTAACATTCAATCTTCTAAGCCAAATCGAATGAAGTATCATATGGAAAACATCAAACCTCTTTGGATTCACATACAACTCGAAATGCCTTCTCACTTGAATCACTCTCTTCTGCATTCTTATGTACTTCCTTTCTGGTATACCCATCAATATTTTCTTCAAATCCGGAATTTCTTCAAGAGAAACAATCACAGCAAATGATTTCCAATTCAAAACATCACTGAAAGGTGGCACATAAGTCTTGGAAATCAGCACTGGTACACACCCGTTGTACAATGCCTCCACAATTCTGGGGCTGGCAACTTCGTATCCACTGGGGCAAAGGCAATATTTACTCTGCCTCATTTGATCGTAGTAAGAGACGCTTCTTGGAAGGTAACTATGGACTTGGATATCAGGGTCTTTCTTCTCCCAATGGTCAAATAGTATTGGTCTTACGAAACCGTGATTCCCTCCAGCGAAGAAAGCTAGAATCGAACGCTTCGACGGAGACAGTCCACCGATCAAGCCCTCTAATCTGTCGCTTTTGAGACTGATCTCTGGAATTGATACATCCCTCATCGGGTTGAACCTTTCGGAGGTGTTTGCATTGCAAAGTGCACGGATCGAGCTTTTCACTAAACCTGGAACATAAAAACTAGTTGCAGGCCCCTAAAAGAATCAATGTCAAATTAATGTTATTTTTTTTATCAAAATAATCTTTGTTGGATGAAAATAATTAGTTGGCTAAAAGATTATATATGTTACTGAAATGATATTTTTATATTTACTTAATTAGTGAAATGATGCATGATATGTCGTCATTTTAATGATATGGTACACGCTACGTCATCACTTTGATTGACGCGACACGGGTTATCATCACTTTAGATAACATGATATTTATCACGTCATTAATTAAACATAAATAGAAATAACATGTCAGTAATATTTAATGATCGTTAGTTAACCAACGGTTTTCATCTAAAAGAAGTTACTTTAACAAAAAAAATGCAACGTTGGGTGGTAGAATATCCAATAAAAAAGAATAGTGATTAAAATGACTATTTATGCAAACGTTAGGGCCTAATTTTATAATTATATCAATTGGTTTTGGTTTTGTGGTATACAAAGCAGCAAGAACAGAAGAGCTTACCCAATCATGGCAGGAAAGCATGAAATGATCAGCCCCATGGCTTCGGTTCCAAAAAGGGTGTTTGGTGGCAATGAGGTTGACGTAATCTAGGACAATGGTCCCTAAATTGTTCATATGGGTACCCTTGACCCAATTATATTGGACCAACCTTGTGACGCTGTAAGGAAGGTAAAATAGATGAGCTTTGTGGGGATTGTGGGTTCGGAATTTGTGGTTGACCTCCATCTTATTGATGAACTGTCCTTCCATGGTGTATAGCAACCTGCATGGACCGTCGTGAAACAGTGGAAGCTCCCCTTCTTCGTACACGAATATCTTCAACCGTTTCTCCATTTCCAGGTAGCTCCTGTCAATATGCAACAAAATTAAACCACAACTCATAAACCCTAAACCCTAATAATCCATTTTTTAGTTTTTGTTATAGTTAGGGACAATCTTATGATTTTATGTTAGAAAGATAAATTTTTAAATATTAGAAGATGAATCTATAAAATTATAGAGAAAAAATATTTTATCATATATATATATATATATAGTAATAATAATAAAATATATGATTATTTAAAATTTTCAATAGGTGAATTCCTTCCCGCTCTCTCGATCCATTTCTAGTTGTTGCAGATAGAGCCGCTTGTGTAGTTGTCAACCATTTGTATGGCTAGGTGGTCCAATAAATAGACTTTGAACATGACAAATTCACATGCTTGCAAATTTTCACAGAATATATCAAGGGTGTCAATAATTGAACTATAGTTATATTTATAAAATGTACTAAAAGTTTTAATTTTAACTTTTAAGTAAATGATTAAATTGCAAACCTTGTCAAAGTACATGACTGATGGGATATTTTGGCAGTCAATGATAACCAACTAGAAAGATGATGAAACGAAGAATAATGGAATATCTCTACAGGGTTCAAATGGTTAATTTAGTCGTCCGACTAATTTTTTATTTAACCGAAAACGAATAGGAATATTTTTGAAAATTCTTAATTGAATCGAATAAAATTCAATTAAATCGATTAATTTTCGAATTAGTTGAAATTTATTGTAAACTTTTAGTTAAATTAATTTGAATTTAATAGAGATATTTTTTTTCATTTGAATTAGAATTTGATTGGTCTCCAAAGTTTAATAGGTTTAGTGTCGTTAAAAAATAGTTGTATCTTAATTTTTAATAAGTTAAATATTTAATATTTTCGGTTAATTTGATTAATTAACCGATCTAATATTTAGTTATCCGACCAATTAACTAAATTAAATTTTGATTCGACCGGTTAAAATGAACAATGAACACCCCTACCTGTGAAAGGCTTTGGCGTTGTTGTATATTGGCCCATCAGGGATATAATCAGGATCCTTTAATCGAGTCCCGTTCGGAGCTTCTCTAATGGCGAGTCGAGCTTTTCGAAGACCCTCTTCAACTCTAACCAAACTAGAGCGGATTCTTCGTCTTCTTGGCTTCACTGTATTATCTGTTGATTCATTTGCTTTAATGGAAGAGTTGTTCAAGTTTCCGCTAATCGCCATATCTGGCTTGTTTTCGTCTTTCCCAGTCTGCTGAATGGATAAAAAAACTAAAATCAACAAGAAAACAACATAATTTGGTTCAGACATGCAGTAAAAAGGTAAAAATGTTCTTACAAAGTGTCGAACTTGCGAATCTATTGGACTATCCCTCTCTTTAGCTACTAGTAAACTAGAGTTTTTCACAGTGTGTGAAGAAGATGAAGTATAGAGTAAACCCAAGTTGGAGCCTTTTTGAAGTAAAAGAGAAGCAAAACCAGACACCAGAACCAATGGAACTAAACACAGAAGAATCTTTGATGATGATGATGAAGTGCTGGCAAGCCAGTTTTTTAACTCTTCAATGCCCATATTATCTTCTTCTCAAGGAGTTTCGCTTTACTTTTCTGCAACCAACACATAACAAGTAAGAATCCAGATTTGAGTAAACTATAAAGTCATTTATCTATTTCTTGATTTTGTTTTGTTCATCTAATTATGTTTCAAAATGGTATAATTACAAAAATACACCCATAACGTTAGATAAAGTAGTTTTTTTGGCCTCTATTCTTTCTATTGAAACAATTTAATCTAACATTTTATTTTGGGGTAAGAGACCCCCTTCGTCGATAAAAACTATTAGTTAACTAATGCTCAATGCCTCAAGATGACATGATGGATCTACATGGCATTGCATGCTGACGTGGACATTGGTAGTATCATATGTACAAAGGTGATGACGATCAACCCCATCGTTACGTTTTGGTCATCCGTTGCTAAAAAATTAACAATGATGTTGACGTGTTATCATAAGATAATACAGCATCATTATTATTATTTTTTTAAAAATATCACGTCAATATTTTTGTTTATTTTTTAGCGATGGGTGACTAAAACATAACATCAGATATAATTTTAAAAAAAGATAATTAAATAATTAAAACGGAACTACAAAAATAAGTGGGGACTAAATGCATCATTTATCCTTGAGATTTTAGTAAACAATTAGAAACATTGTATTTTCTGTTTGCTTGTCATTAGTATCATCACAGTTCCTGCTAAGAGGGTGAATATTGTGTCATTTTCGGACTCCATTTATGTGGCTGCTATTGCTTATCTTAAATTTCCTTTATCCACTGCAATATACCATTTAGTTTCTATTAAGTATTATTAAATATCCTTGAAATAGAGAGGGAACGAAACAACCTTAAAATTGATTTAGGTTCCTTTTGTTTTATTTAGATAGTAAAACATGCGTTTTTCCCGAAAAATTACCAGTGATCGGTATATTTATTAATCTAACACCGGTCATATTATATTTTTCGATCTAACACCCGTAGCAGTAAAGCACGCTCCCTGCCCCGCACTATATGCTTATTTGGCGCCACGTGGGGTATAGCGCACCCCTTGATCTACGCTATACGCCACGTAGGGGTATAGCGCCGCCCCTGCTCAGTGCTATACCTGGATATGAATTATATTTAGTGTGGACCCTGGTCCGCGCTATACCTTTTATCTGAATAATTACATATAGCGCGGTGCAGGTACCGCGCCTTATATGGTTATAAATACCCTTCACTCCCGGTTAAGTTTCTCACATCTCCTCACATCTCTCCTCTCAACTTATAAATTAATACAACAATTCCGTCAACGAGTAATAATTATGGTAATTTTTTCATATTTGATTTAGAATTTCGTGCGATTTTTCGTTATAAATTTTGTTATAATTTTTTTATTATACTTATTGTTTATTATGATTATTTGAAAAAAATATTATATTAATTATTTTCAATTAATTTTTGTGTTTGTAAAATTGAAAAGTAGGAGTATACGTCAAAATAGTTTTGCGGTAAATGTAATAATATAAAATTATATTATTTAAATTATTTACGTTGATGTGTAAAAAATTTATTGTGTTATATTTTCGTTCATATATAATTTATTTAATCAGGTTTGTTTCAATTTTTTTTGCAGATATAATATTGCCGCACTTTTAAACTCAAAGAATGACGTGACTTTCAGCTATTGTTTATTATCATGGTGAAATTCGAGAAGATGAAACCGGCGTTGTTTTCGTATCAAATGAGCGTGTTAAAATATCATTCAAGAGAAACATAACTCTTGAGGAGCTGATAACGAAGATTTCGAGGAAGATTCATGTTGGAAGTAGTAGAAGAATGTCGTCGTTGCAGTACAGATTTCCAACATCATTGTTGCCATTAACTTATACAGCGTTCGAACTTTCGAACAATGATGATGTTCAAATGATGGTTGAAGCTCAAAGTAATTATTCAGACGCCGCTATTGAGATGTATGCACATTTTGTTCAAGTGTGTGCTGTTCGGGGTCAAACATTAAGCTCCCACTATAGGCTGGCTGAACAAGTTGATCAAGTTGACAACCCGACTACAGTAATGTGTAATGATTTTAATGCCATAATAGGAGACATTCATCCGCAACTCCTTACTATATGTACCAAGGTGGGTCCACGAACAATCCGTATGGCAACACCGCGTCTAGTTCAAGGGGAAGGCATTCATCTGCAAATTTCTTTGACCATATGGAGATGCCATCGACGCAACCATCTGTGTAGTTTCCATTTGGCACGATGGCTTCAAGCTCAAGGGGAGACATTCGACTGCGAGCTTTTTCGATCTCAATGTCGATATGTCTTCCAGTTTAAGGGGAAGGCCTACAAGTAGTAAGTTCTTCGACCTAAATGTGGAGAGCATAGAGGAATCATCATCTTCACCAGAAGAACTACTTCGTGAGCCTGATACGGATGGTGCTGAGACTGGACTATTCATTCAATCAGAATCACCGCAATTAAACTCTGATGATGATGAAGTTCCAGGAATGGCCCTCCTATACACATGTATGAAGCTGATTATGGTGCAATGTACGGGCCAGAATTTACGGATATGCCTCATCTCGGTGACTATGGATATTACTCATCAATAAATAATGGTGAGTTATATTTAGGCATGGAGTTTTCAAGCAAAGAAGAAGCGGTGATGGCTATAAAAAATTACAATATCCGTAATTCTATTCAGTCCAGAGTCAATCGATCGACGACCGAAAAATATGTATGTTATTGTGCCCGACGCGAAAACGGATGCAATTGGATGGTTCACATATCGAAAATTGTTGAGTTAATCGAATGACGAAATTGGCCAAGAGGGGGGTGAATTGGCAATAAAATTTTGTGGAAGCTTTTGCAGAAAATTGAAAGTAATTGCACAGCGATTTACAGTGGTTCGACTTTCTCAAACAAAGTCTACGTCCACTACCTTAGCTATCCACACTAAGGATTTTCCAACAAATTCACTAATTTGTTCTTTCTTTTGAGGCCAAAGAGATAACCTTACAATTCCCTCAAGAGTATACCCCAACTCTTGAGAACACTCTTTTCTCAAAGAGAAGATTACAAATTTGCAAACTTACAAGAAAACCTCACAAGGTAAGATGTTTGCACAATTCTAGAACAAAGAAAAGAACACTCAAAGATGAATACAATTGAGCACAAAAAGTGTTCTTGAAAGCAAAATGAATATTGAATGAAAATAGGCTTGAAATGCTCAAACTTGAGGTTTGATGCTTTCTCTTTGATTCTCTCTTGATTCTAGTTGCTTGATGTTTCTTGTTCTTGATCAATGGCTTCTAAGCTTGCTTAAATACACCTTGGATCACTTCTGAACGTTGGGGATAATTAGAGAAGATATTATAGCCGTTTTAGTGTGAAAACATTTAATAAAACAGCTTGGAGCGTGGGGGGAATCGGTTCCCTCTCATAGGGAATCGGTTCCCTGAGTGTAAAATTCAAATATTTCGACCGTTGAACAGGGGGGAATCGGTTCCCTCCGAGCATTCTGGAAATCTCGGAGCCAAACCATTCAGGGGGAATCGGTTCCTCCTATGGGGGGGAATCGGTTCCCTCTGAGCAATCTGGAATTTTTGGCTTTGAATTGGTTCGAAATACTTTGTAAAATTATTTTGAAATTGTTTTATGATTAAAACTTAATTTTACACTTAAGTAAGGATCAAAAATGATTTTTGAAATATTTGGAGTAATGTTTTGATATTCGAATAGTTATATCGAATATACTTAGAAAATCATTTGGAAAATCTTAAAATCCATTTAACTTAATTTGTTATATCGAAATATTAAAATGTTTCAACAATCTCCCCCTTTTTGATATAACAAAACATTTTAGTAATTTTAAGATTTTTTGAAATCAAGTTTTGAAATTACTCCCCCTTACTTTAACACTTCTTCAATTTATCATGTAAAACATTTAACACTTATTCTTCTCCCCCTTTTTGTTAAATCAAAAAGACATTGTAAAACAAGGTTTTGAAAATCATTTAGCCAATTGATTTATTAATTATAAGCTTAAGCTGCTAAGATCACAATCAAAAGAGAGGTTAGCCATTAGTTTCATAAATCAATATTCATAAATAATGTGATATGGCAAAATTGGTCATATTGCTAATGATAATGTAAATGATGCAAAAATGAATAAAACACCAAACATATAAGTTCACACCATTCATAAATCCAAAATCCAACAATCCACAAAATCAAACAATTCAAAATGTTGAAACAATATTCATTTTGTTCAAAGTTTTAAAGATAAACATAAAATTAAGCATCCGGATCGGTAGGAGGAAAACGGGCTCGCATAGCGGCCATCTCGTGTGTGAGTTCATTGATACGAGCGTTGGTTGATTCATTGTTTGCACGCATCTCCCGAAGAATCTCTAATTGTTGAGCTCCCATTGTGGATAAATGAGACTCTATAGAGGAAAAGCGCGAGTCCATGGTAGCGTATCGGAAATCGAATGTCTCCATAAAGGATTGAAAATATGGAGGCATTTGATGCGTTTGTTGTGCTTGCTCCTCGGGCTGCTCTTCGGGCTGATCAGGCTCATCTTCGGCTTCATCGATATCTTGCATTAATTGCTCAAGCTCGGGATCTTCGTCAGCTTCGGGTGGAGCTTGTGAAGAACTAGCTCCCGGAGTAGAAGATCGAGCCCATTCACCGGTTTCTTTGTCCTTTACCCATCCCGCTCTTGTTAAGGAAAGAAGATTTATTTGTTTCTTAAGAGGAAAAACGGCATCTAGACCGACTCTAAGCCCAGCTTTGGAAAACAGATTACTCAAAAAGAAACCGTAAACTAGAGATGAACAGTGTTTCTTGTTAGGAACAAGATTTACGGTTTCAACAATTTCAGCAAAAATAATCTGAGGTAGGTTAATTTTAATACTGTTTTCGAAACAATGTAACCACCAAAGATCCAAAGCTCTAAGAGTAGAATAACGACCTCCGGATGGTCGAAACCACCAAGAAATCATTAGATGAAGAAAACGCTCATGTTGGTCTAAGACACTCGCACTATCTCTTCTTTTATA